GCACCGAGGCCGGTGGAGGATCACCTGGCACACGGCATCGTCTGCGCAGGTCCCTGGGCACGGGTCCACGCACCTGTGGCTGCGGCAGGTGAGGTGGCGAGGGCAGTCCCCGGGGATGACGCACTCGGGCGGCACCCGAGGTACGGGTCACCCTCGAGGCCGGGCTTGCACGTGCACACGGCAGCCCCGCCCACCTCACGGCAGTCGGTGTTGTCGCCGCACTGGCCACTCGAGCAGGGCGACTTGTCTACGGCTACGTGTTGGAGAGAGGAGGTCGTCAAGACACATGCTCAAGGAAGAGAAATGAAGGACAGAGTATAGACATGCACTACACATTTAGGAAGCCATTATCATGCAGGAGTGAGAGAGATATCATGCACATGCTCACATTGAATGGGGGTTGGGGTTGGTCGGCAAGCAGAGTAGGGGTCTCCCATCAGGCCCTCGGGGCACGCGCATACGGGACGGTGCTGGAGGACCTGGCATGTGGCCAACAGACCACATGCCCCCGGACACGGGTCCACGCACCTCCGTCGTACGCACGCGCGGTTGTTCGGGCACATGCTGTCTGTTTCACATTCGGGGGAACACCTGACGAAGGGGTTTCCTTGTAGCTCGGGGGGACACGAGCACTCGGCGCGGGCCCCGACGCTGCGGCACAGGGCGTTCGTCCCGCACGGGGAAGGCGAGCAAGGGCTCGACATCGGGGGCTTCGGCGCCGCTGCGAATGCAACACCAACAACCTTTAGCATCTTGCCATCAGCACATACGGACACGCACACACACAGACACACGATGACACACCCTTCGAGGATCCGTGGCGACACTTCCACGGCGGACAGACTCACCTCGCGAATCTCGAGAAGACGTTCTTGCAGCTCTCATGGAGATGTTAGGGCATGCTATACACAGGGGAGTTAGAGAGCGAAACCAGAGCCAACACTTACGTTTGACGCATCTGACGAAGGGGTCGCCGGTGAGGTCCTTGGGGCAGAAGCAGATGGGGTTGTGGTTCACGACCTCGCACTCCGCGTTGACCCCGCAAACACCCACACAAGGGTCGCGGCACTTCTGTCTGTTGCACGCCAGAGCCAGAGGGCAGTCGGAGTTGAGCACGCACTCGGGGCGGCAGCTGGGGGCGAGGGGGGGACGGGTGATTTTTCTGCTCTCTTTTCTTCTAACTTTGAAATGAAGAGGAAGAAGGTGGGAGGGAGAAAGGGGAGAGGAAGAGGAGGGAAAGAGGGAGAGAAAGGGAGGAAGGGAGGGGGGCAGAAAGAGAAAGAGAGAGAGAGAGCAGAAAGATAGAGAGCAAGAAAGAAAAAGAGAAAGAAATGAGACAGGAATAAAACGCAACCAACAAACAACACTTACGACGGAGGGAAACCGAGGAATCCCGACAGACAGGAGCACTGCGCCCTGCCAGCCACGACCCTGCACTCGGCATTGGGACCGCAGGGGCTGGGTTGACATGGGTCCTCCGGTGTGGGTTTGGGCTCCGGTTCGGCTGTTGGGGGAGGGGGAGAACCGGAAGGAGAGATGAGTTACGGTTCGCTAAGGAGATTCGTTGGGATGTGAGAGTTGTTTGGGTGATTCGGGGATTGGTATGGGTTGAGGTTGACTGGAATTTGATGTTTTTTTTTTTTTTTTTTTGTGTGTGTGTGTGTGTGTGTGTGTGTGTGTGTGTGTGTGTGTGTGTGTGTGTGTGTGTGTGTGTGTGTGTGTGTGTGTGTGTGTGTGTGTGTGTGTGTGTGTGTGTGTGTGTGTGTGTGTGTGTGTGTGTGTGTGTGTGTGTGGTGTGTGTGTGTGTGTGTGTGTGTGTGTGTGTGTGTATTAATAAGGAAAATATGGGGAGAGTGTCAGATTATAAAAACTAATGAATAAAAATGCCGAGTCTGATGCTTGATTACAAAAAAAAAAGATTTAGCAGCGATACTAAAATCAGATACACTTTTATAAATGGCCATATAGTCACAAAAGTCATAGAATAAAAGTCCAGGTATTTCGTTTGTTAGAAATGCTACATTAACATAACTTCTACTGAAGAATTAGTGATCAAGGTTATTCTAGACAAGGAAAAGTTAAATATTGAACTCTTGTTAATGGTCTGACGTTAATTCCTTATTTGGCATAAAATCAGATGATGATACAAGAATAATTTATATTCAATATTAACAGAAGTTAGTTATGATCGAGATCCGGTCTGTTATTTTCTTATCACTGTTAAATACGAAATATTTAATATGGACGAAATATTTGATGTCATTTACATTCTGGGTTATTCCATGCAAAAAGGCAATTCAATCTGTAACAAAGATATGAATGGATTAAAATGAAACCGTTCTCGCTTCCCGCGAAAATGAGATTATTTGTTAAAATACGTCATGCGATTATGAGTGCGTCATGGAGAGGGAAACCGAGAGGCAGGTCAGAGGCCATCGCCAGTCGTCAGTTATCGGTCGGCAGCGGTCGCTTACGTCGGTCGATGAAGCAGCGCGAGTACGGGTTCCCCGTGTAGCCCGGCGGGCAGTAGCAGCTGGGCTGGTGGCCGAGCACTCGGCAGTCGGCGTTGAGGCCGCACGAGCCCGGGCACGGGTTCACGCACTTGTTGTTGATGCACGCACGGCTCGGAGGGCAGTCGGAGTTGACGGTGCACTCGGGGCGGCAGCCCTCGTACGGGTTGCCGAAGTAGCCGGGCTGGCAGGAGCAGGAGAAGCGGTCGCGGTCGACGGAGCACACCGCCGCAGGGCCGCAGGGCGAGCCGGCGCACGGGTCCTGCGGCGGGCTGGACGGTGTCTCGACCTCCGGCGTCACTACCAGGTCGACTGCCGGGGGACATACGGTCATGCACTACACTTGCCGACACTGCACTAACTCATGCACAGTATGGACAAAATGCAAAAGAAATCTATAGACATATATACACACTAAACACACGGAGAGAGAGAGAGAGTGCAGGGAGGGGAGGGGCTTACTCAGGGTACACCGATAGATGGGGTCGCCGGTGTAGCCGGCGGGACACCTGCAGATGGGGTTGTGCGCCACCACGTCGCACAGCGCCTCGAGGCCGCACGTGCCCACGCACGGGTCCACGCAGCGCCGATTGATGCACGCGCTGTCCATCGGGCAGTCGGCATTGGCGACGCACTCGTAGCGACATCCCGAGGGCTGGTTGGGGTTGCCGAAGGTACCCGGGCGGCACTCGCACACGGCCACGGTGCCCTGCACGCGGCACTGGGCGTTGGCGCCACAGGGGTCGGGCACGCACGGGTTGGTGTCCGCCTCCGGTTGGACCCGCTACGGAGGGGGGGGGGGGAGAGGAAAGAGTAAAGCATACGCGCTGACAACTCAGGGAAGGAGTGCCGTGCAAGAGTGACAGGGAAAAAATTATATACACATGAACACTTTCCAGAGAGGACCCTCTAAACAAGATGCAAAGGAGAAATGACAACATTCAGGAAATCATATTATTTACATTCAGGACACAAGCCTCGGGGCAGAACACGTTCACACATCGCAAAAGCAAGGGTCGAGGGCAGGAGGGGAGGACGGACCGGGAGAGGGAGGATAAAGGAGAGAAGGGGGACGGAGTGTTAAGGGGGGGGAGGGGGTGAGTGGGGGGGCTCAGCGAAGCAGCCTTACGTGGCGGCGGTCTGACGCGGCAGTCGGTGAAGGGGTCGCCCGTGTAACCTCGGGCACGCGCACACGGGGTTGTGGCTGACGACGGAGCAGAGGGCGTTGTTGCCGCACGTGCCTGGGCACGGGTCTCGGCATTTCTGGCTGATGCACGACAACGTGAGCGGGCAGTCACTGCTCACCAGGCACTCGGGGCGGCACTGCGCGCGCGCATCTCCAAAGAATCCGGGGAGACACGTGCAGTACGCCACTGTGCCTGACGCTGTTGCACCGTGCGTTGTCACCCGCACGGGTCACGGGGTGGCACGGAGTCACATGCTCGGAGGCAACACTGGAAAATCGTTCCGGAAATGTTGACGCCGTGTGCGTGTGAGGGGGGGGGGGGCGGAGGCTGTGAATTCACGTATTTACACTCTATATCTAACACACATATGCCACTATATACATACAGTAGGGATTGGGAAATAGGGAGCAGAGGGAGAGGGTGAGCGCCGTACCGGGAAAGAGGGAGGATGGTACCCTGAGCGACCGTATACCCGAGGTTCAACAGGAGCAATGGGGTTGTGGTATGAGACACGCCGGCTGCAAAGGTCGCACGAGCCGGCGACGGCCGTATCCCCGCAGGGCAGCGTGGTCTTTTGGGTGAGGACCGATGGCCGAACGAGGCACCAGCCGGAAGTTGGCACGGGTTGGACGCAGTCGGAGTTGGTGATGCACTCGGGCGTGCAACCGAGCTCTGGGCGGCCGTAAAAGCCGGGGAGGCAGGCGCAAGTTGCCCTTCCCTCCCACCATTGGCACTCCTTCGGCGTTGGCAACCAACAAGAGAGGGTGTGCAGGGGGCCGCGGGAGGGAAGGGGGTCGTCTCCAGGCGGGGTCTGTCTAGAGGCCGCTACACGAGAACCAGGCAAATCAGGCACAGAGACAGAACATAGGGAATAATTCTAAGAAAGGAGATCAAGCTAAATATATTTCATGCTGAATAAAGCGTGCAACGGGTGATATGCATGACAATCATTCACAAAGATGCAAAATTTAAATAAAAACAGCGCAACGGCCATCCGTACACTCGGCGCGTAAATTCAAGAAATCTGTAAAACCTGAAAATCTGCAAAAGCCAAAAACACGTCAGCATTACGAGAGAGAGAGCGACCGGAGCAGCACTTGCCTTTCTCGAAGCAGCGGCTGAAGGGGTCTCCGGTGAGGCCGTCGGGGCACCTGCACACGGGGTTGTGCGCGACCACGGAGCACTTCGCGTTGATGCCGCAGGAGCCCTGGCAAGGGTCCACGCACTTGTAGTTGATGCAGGCGAGGGTCCATCCCGGGCAGTCGGGGTTTGATGGTGCACTCGGGGCGGCACGGCGAGCCGAAGAAGTTGGGCAGGCACGAGCAGATGGGCTTGTCGTCCGCACTCGGGCGGCACTCGGAGTTGGGCCCGCACGGGTTCGGCTGGCACGGGGCCGGGCGCGGGGGCGGCGCTGGGGAAGGAATGGGGCCGTTACGCCGGAAGGCCGAGGGGCTGTCTGGGGAACTGGAAATCGCAGGGGAATGGCAGAGGATGCGGGGGAGATAAACCAAGGCTAGTGATACTCACGTTTCTCCACACAGAACCTGAAGGGGTCTCCGGTGAGGTCCTTGGGGCAGAAGCAGATGGGGTTGTGGTTCACGACCTCGCACTCGGCGTTGACCCCGCAGAGCCCCGGGCACGGGTCGCGGCACTTCTGGTCGATGCAGGCCTTGTCGTCGGCGCAGTCGGCGTTGGTGACGCACTGCGGCCGGCACCTGTCCTTCGGGTCGCCGATGTAGTCGCCGATGCACGAGCACACGGCCGACTGGCCCTGCACGCGGCACTCGGCGTTGATGCCACACGGGGGCGGCACGCACGGGTTGGCGGGCGCGGGGGGCGCCGGCTCCTCCTTGGGCGGGATGGGCTCCGACTTCTCCTCGCACCGGATGTAGGGGTTGCCCATGAAGCCGGCGGGGCAGAAGCAGACCGGGCGGTGGGTGTTGACCTCGCAGAGCGAGTTGATGCCGCAGGCGCCCGGGCACGGGTCCACGCACTTGGTGCTGATGCACGCCAGGTCGTCGCTGCAGTCCGTGTCGACGACGCACTCCGGCTTGCAGCCCTGGAACGAGTCGGCATCGCCGAAGAAGCCGGGGAAGCAGGCGCAGACGGGGTAGTTGCCGGTCGCCACCGAGCACTGCGCGTTGGGCCCGCACGGGGAGGGCTCGCACGGGTTGTCGGGGCTGCGCTCGCACTGCACCTTCGGGTCGCCTCGGTAGCCCTCGAGGCAGCGGCACTGCAGCTTATCGCCGCGGACGTAGCACTCGGCATTCTGGCCGCACACGCCGGGGCCGCAGCTGGGGGGCGGCACTGCAGGACGAGAAAAAAGGACATTTAACCAATGCAATGCTGCAAGGCATCTATCATTTTGCATAGAAAATATATACAACCTAAAACATATCCCAAGTCCCTTGACGTAGGCCTACCTCTGCAGCCGGTGTAGGGGTCGCCGATGAGGCCGGGGCGGCAGTAGCAGAAGGACTTCCTGTTGGGGTCGCAGAGGGCGCCCTGGCCGCACGGGGACGGCACGCAGGGGTTGACAGGCGGCTCGCAGCCCCGGATGGTGTTGGGGTTGCCCACGTAGCCGGGGCGGCACGTGCAGCGGTGGAAGCCGTTCACCATGTGCACTCGGTGTTGGGCCCGCACGGGGAGAGGGGGAGCACGGGTTGGAGGGGGGCTGCACGCCACGCTTGGGGGGTTGCCGATGAACTCCGGCAGGCAGAAGCAGACCGGGGCGCCGCCCACCACGCGGCAGCCCGAGTTGGGGCCGCACGGGTTCGGCTCGCAGTCCTTGCCCTCAGGAACTGGAGGGGGGGGGGGAGAACAGTATAGTCAAAGTGAAATGCAAGAACTGGGAAACACACACACACACACTCGCGCGCACACGCGCACACACACACCACAACACACACACACACACACACACACACACACACACACACACACACACACACACACGCACACACAGCACCTCATCCATCCACATGAATATACAAATGCCCGAAAGAGAGCCACTTACTGCACTTCTCGAAGGGGTTGCCGGTCGTGCCTTTCGGGCACACGCAGATGGGGTTGCCGTTGTCGAGCTCGCAGAGGGCGCCCTCGCCGCACGGGTCGGAGTCGCAGGGGTTGATGGGCACTTGGCAGTTCCTGAGGGGGTCGCCCTGGTACCCAGGTGGGCATCGGCACGTGGCACGATGCTGCGTGACCTCGCACACGGCGTTGCGGCCGCAGCGACACGGGTCCTGGCACTGGTTGTTGATGCAGGCCTGGGTGGGCGGGCAGGCGCTGTTGTCGCGGCACCCGACAGCTGCGGGAACGAGGGCGGGAGTTAGTGGCTGGGCGGCCTCGGGGGAGGGGGGGGGTCAGTCTAGCTGCTGAGTGCGAAGCGCCAGAGGTACGCTTCTGTAATGTCAGGTCGATGTCGGTATTACAACGTTATATCAGTGACACATCTGTCATGTCGATGTACTTAGTCAGGACAGAAATAAAGGAAGAATCTTTGGAGACACTCTTAACAAGTTCAGGGGCGGGCAGTTTTATGAATGACTAAGATTCTCCAAACTTTACGGAGATTAATCAAGATATACTAAAACCATAAACAGCCCTCCTACGATTTGTCAAGAACGAGCTCCTTATCAGAATTATCGACAGTCAGTGCACGGAACGAGACATGGCGTCTATTGCCGAATTCTATCCTCGTGACAAAATGACCAAGTCAATCAGGCCTCTTCCCTTACGCACGACGGGGAAACTGTATAACGAAAATCAAATCAGTGCATCACTCTTAAACAGGATGGACTCGA